GATAATCTCAACCAAATATAGCATGTTAATGATACCTCTCAAATATCTCAAAAATCTTTTAAGGTACATCAATTATCCCGTTTGGATTTTCACATATTGGCTCAATCTTCTGGCATTTTAAAATATGACGGGTCACACATATTTCATTAATTGTAACAAACTCACACATTTTTTTAACATACTTATTGAGCCTTGAAATCATATAATGTGTTTTGATTTTAATATCGTACTTCGTATTAAAGTCACAAGGGATATTCACATTTTAACACTGAAATGTCAAACTTCTAAAGAAGTTTCTCAATAACTTACCACCTTCCTTACGGCTTAATACTCAAAATATATTCATATATCAACTCAATATAGCTACCGAAATAAGCATATAAAAATTCCAGCAACAAATAATTACACATGCATCATTTAGTGCGTAGACATTTTTCCATATTCATCACATTATTTAATCTCAAAGATAATATAGTTTAAAGTATTGCACACACACTAATTCTTCAATTTAAGAAAATCATATATCTGCTCCACTATTTCAGTTTATGCAAAGAGTGGCCAAAAGTTATAAAACTCATTTTCACTCAATGAGATAGGTAATAAAAATTTAGCTAAGCCCCCTCACAATTTTAAATATTTCAAAAACAGGTGCATAGCCCTTCTAAAATTCACAAAGGGATAATTTCAGTTTTATTAAGATAATTTCTCTCAATCTTTATTTGTACACCAAAATTTTATCAAAAGCTAGCCCTTAAATTTAAATAAAATAAAATTTAGTGTACCTCAGACAATCACCATTAAGTGAGATAAAAACCCTTTCACCACATCTAGTCACCAGCCCATAAACAATTATTGATAAAATTTATACAGATTTGCCACACTAAGCACTACACACATGCATAACAAACATATCATACGATTGTATTACAATGAGCAAAGGTAATAAAACTTGTTCAAATTAAATACGTAAAACCCCCACATTTTGTATATATAAGATTAGGTGCATAGGCTATTCACATTTTCAAATATGCTTCAATAATTTGCCATAATTTCAGAAAAAGTTTTAGTTCTCAACAGAAGTCCAGAAATACTGTTCCATGCAAATATACGTATTTAGATAATTGAGAAAGTCATAATTAGTATGATCATACAAATTTCCAGGAGATTCAAAAATAGCACAACCATGGATTCATAATATAATACGACCTTTAGTTTTAACAATCACAATTAAACATAATCACGGTGAAAAAGCAATAGTGAGGATTCACAGTTTTTCTTTATTCTAATTATTTATGACATTTAGTACAGAATCCGAATTAAGTATTTAAAACGAGCAAACTAAACGTTCCAATGCATGCCATTAAATTAGAAAAATTAAGCAAATAACAAATATCAAATTTGTCAAAATTAACCCCACGTTTCCCAAAAGAGAAACATAAACAATTAAGTGAGCCAAAATCTCAATCCCAAGTGAAATCGTCATTAAAATATAAAACTTGATATAATATGAGCTTAATCTGAACATCCATTTCATCATCCCCTATAGGACTATAGGAGGATAATACCAATTTTTTTTATTCACAAGTTTGTTTGGTAGCCTCAATACCTACCATCTATTCATTCACACATCACTAGTCAATTTGAAAAAAAATAACCGCACCAATTATATCGTCACCGCCAACAAAGTTTACACTTTATTTTTGTGGATTGTTTCCCCCCAAATTTTCATTATCTAAAAATGACTTTTTGGAGAAAAGCTATAAAAAACATACCGTAATTTTGACCATCGTTGGAAGCTAGAAATGTGGCCATACTTTTGGCGGCACTAGTCATAGGGGATGTATCCTTCACGTTGACCATTCCATAGGTGTAATTTTTGTTCGCCACTAATTCCTTAGATTGTTGGCTCTATCCTTTCAAAATCAACGTGTTGACCGTGCTGCTCCTAAGTTGACCTCGTTGACCATCTAGCTCCGCTAATTAACCTGCAAAATAATCACTAAAAAAAACTAAACGTATATTAGTGACTCGAGACGCGTCAGACGCTGTCCTAAGGAATTATTTCCGGCGTACGGAAATTTCCCCCAAGATATAACGAGCCCTTCGGTACGAGACCGGTAACATAACTAACATAACATAATAAAAGTATAATTTATGTATTTTCAGATAGCTAAAATGTACACTTTCTCAAGTAATTGTTCCACCCCAAAGATTATACATACGATACAGCAATAGCTATATACTTATAACGTATGTACTTCGTAGAATGATTCATCTTTCACTTCCTTCTTGTTTGATCATCTAGGTATGCATGGGTTTTATACTCTTCAACCAAGAGGGGGTAATTGCTTCATAATAAAGGACATTAAATAATAATGATAATAAGAAGAATAGGCAACGTATGAAACTTGCCAAAGTAAGTGAGTGGTCATGTTAAATGAATATTATATTCATGTATATGTTACATGTATGCATTAATAGTAAATATGTATCGTTAATAATAAACGAATATTTAAAAATAGTGTAGAAAACACAATTAAAAGAAATAATAGTTTATTCATTTGAAATATTCTCAAAATTTCCAACAACTTTTACTTGAGGGAGATTTGGTTGTTAATAATGTGAAGTTCTATAGTATTTCAATATAAATTTTGGTGTATACATTGTGTACATAGTTTCACACAGGTAGGAGCATGCAAGCTAAGGATGTGGTCTCTCACACACCTTTACACATGAGTCTCATTTTTTATTACTCTCAGTTAGAAAGTTCTCACTTTCCTTTTCTCGACGTCCCATTACAAGGTTCTCATTTCCATTTTAGGAAACAATTAACAATATTAAGTGACAAATTAGTCATTAAGTATTAAAAATAATACATTTATAACATCATAGTTATCAATACTAACACATTATAATATATACCTATTAAAATTATTTCTCAAAATATACCCGAAGTACTTTATTTAATTATCACCTAAATAACTGTGTCGTTTTGCTATGGGAACCTTCTAGCGGGACGGAGGTAGTACAATTTTTATGCGTAGAACCCACGTATTTCCTAATTTTTATGAATGTTCATTTTTTTATATCACTTTTAATCCACTCTGAATCTGACATCCATAATCTCTTGAGTGATACATAGTATTTAGGGAGATTTGTGATTGCTTCTACTTTAAAAAAGTGATTTTTAAGTGATTTTGGAGAAAGTAATTAATAGTAAAAATTGGTAGCATTTGAAAAAAAAAAATCTTAAAAGATAAAAATTAATAGTGTTTAATAAATGAGTGATTTTTATGTAATAGAAAAACAGTTTAAAACAATCCCCAACTGCTTCCGACTTTTAAGTACTCCAACACTCATTCCAACTTTTTTTTACTCCTTAATTTTTTGCGGACACTCTAATTTTTTTCGCACTAAATATGTTTAGGGAGTGTTTGCAACAGCTTCTGCTTTAAAAAAAGCACTTTTGGAGTGATTTGGAAAAAGTGATTATTTGTAAAAGTTGATAGTGTTTGAGAAAAAAGTGATTTTGAAAAGTAAAAGTTGGTAGTGTTTGGTAAAATAAGTGCTTTTGGTGTATAAAAAGTGGAAAAGCACTTTTGACACGAAAGCCGAGAAAAATAAATAATTGGTAGTGTTTGGTAAATAAGTGCTTTTTTAAGCCAAAAGTTGAGAAGTGCTTTTTTTAAAGTGGTTGCAAACCAGCCTTTAGTGGTCTAAAACATGTGTTTGAGTGGTCTAGAACATGTGTTGTTCAGTAAAAAGTGGAAACGCATGAGCACAACATAAACAATCTCATATGGTCAGGAAGAGGGCGACGGATGGGATCGACCTAGATTTCATTACTGATTGAATCCCCAATAGTTGAAATCCCCAATTCAAACCGGTGCTGATGATGGCCGCTGCCACATCAACCCAGCAGCGCCACCTCCTCCGGCTAGTCCTATCCTGCCGCAAAATTACAGCTCAGGTGACCCACCCCCAGACGGCCTCCATCATCGCGATGGCTTCATCGGCCGAGCAAGAGTTCGCGGCTCAGCATAGAGCCAAGCTGAACCGCTTCCCCCGTTCCCACAACTTCTGGGATTCAAAGATCGCCGCCAGGGTCGGCGAGAAGCTCGGCCACCGCCTTAACGAAGCCGGCGTCTTGCAAGTAGAAATTGATCACCGGGAAGAACTCGCCAGGCCCATTCACCACCGTAAGATGGTGTCGCCGCTCTTCGATGCCGTTAAGCGCGCAGGTATCGGCTTAGCAGGCGGCGAGAAATTGGAGGCCTGGACTTTGAGCTAGTTTTTGGGTCGTTTGGCTATTGGGCCTGTGAAAAAAACGTGATGGATCTGGGCTTTTAGATCCAGTTAGATTACTCTACACATATCCAAGTGATCCAACCAAATTTTTATGTAGCAATAGTACTCCATTTCCCAAGGATCTTATTCTCAGAACAACTAACAAATCAGACTCAATTTTGTATTTCTTGATTTCCCTACTTTCACACAAGTTTCAAGTTTGTTATGTTTAATTTGTTAGCAAATGATGTTGAATTTGGTAATAATAATATTTTCTGCAAAATGACATATATACTATATAGTATAAAAGTAAAATAAAAAATCTTGAAAAACGCTCTTATAGACAACATAACTTATAATTTCATTTAAAAAGTATCGACAATTTTTTGTTTTGGACAAAAGTGATGAATTGAGTACCAGTATACGAACATTGGACTTCGGAAGGACGCAGTGAGAAAGTGGAAATCAGTGTATGAATAGATGCCACTTAAGTCTAAAGTCGTACACACTGCATTCTTATTTACATCCCATTTTTTCAATTTAGCAAAATTGGAATTTACATTTATTCTTTAAATGAAATTGAGGTGCAAAGATCTGACTTAAACTTATGAGGTGCAAAGTCAAGTTCTCCCAATAACATTTTGTATTGATTAAACAACATAATTTAAGAAAATGAAAAGTAATAGATAATCAAATTTCAATGTTTTACCAAAGAACCATCATTAAATGTTGCATATAATATGCTCAAAAGCCTCAAAGTAGGGGTCCTGGACTGGCCACTTCTTGGTCCCCCACCCTCTCTAGTCCCTACTTGAGACCAGCATTCAGTACTCCAGTTACTAGTCTGGTTATGGTCTACCCAATATGTTATGGACCTATGGTCCTGTTCCCAGGTAGATCCTAGCCAGCACGCCCAATTCCGTTTGTAATATAAGTCCCCCACCCAAAGAAAAAGTTTAGATGAAGTCCACCTAGATAGTTAAACAGAAACAGAAGTTGTAGTTTGCAAGGTAGAAGGGCTAATTTACAGCATGTCTTGAATGGAACAAGGAACAAGTTACCATCAAGGCATGCCTTTCCTACATAAAATCTCAAAACATTAGTGAAATATACCATTCTAGAGAGGAGCACTACATCATGTTAAGCTACAAGTCTCCCTTTAGTTAATCTGGGGTGGGGGCATAACTAAGTAGCCAGCAACTTTGCCTCACTCAATTTGGCCATCATATATGAAGCCGCGTTCTCTCTTGCTTCAAAAGGATTTGGGCATACACTACCTTGACACACATGGCACCCTTCTTTTACCATAACATTGGCAGCAAATCCATCTGCATAGTGGGAAAACCTCATCAACTATGATCCAGTGAATGATCAGGTGTTCTAAAAATATCTTCCCGAAAATGCTCCACCTAACAGCCCAGGCTCCGCCTCGAGCTTTTTTTTAGATGTTCTATATTAGTGTTGTACCTCTATATGGAAAGACTTGATATGTTGGAAGTTTCCACTTCATCTGACGACACAATTCATCCAGTTTCTGCACACTCAGTTGATTAGTGATCTGTTATATATGCAGTAATAAAAAATGGGAAATCATGTGAAAAACAAAACTCAGCATTATATATACAGTAGCATCATTTTTTTAATATAGGAAAAGGGCCAAATAAGCCTTTCTAGTTTCTTTTGTAAAAAAAAGCCTTTCTAATTTCTACTATTTCAAAATCATCACCTAGACCCATATACTTGTGTCATAAATCTCTCTGACCCATATGACATGAATGTGACCTGATTCAGCACATAAAAGTGACGCATTGCCTTTTTAATAAACCCAAATCATGGTTCGATTCATGTTAGCCGACCCCAAATATTTTGGGATTAAGGCTTGGATGTTGTTGTTGTTGTTGTTTCCATTTCCCCTCTTTTTCCTTGTTTTCTTACACTGTTTCATAATATGGTTTCTGCCATTGCTCTCGCCTCGGCGCTCCCTAAAGCTTCTATCCTAGACAGGCCATTTATTTTCTTTTTTTTTGTCTTGCTTCCGCCAGATCGTGCTATCTACTTGTACTCAGCTTCTTCTATTTTGAGTTGGCTAAAGAGTGAGTCAGAACATAGAGTGAAAGAAATCTTAATAAAGGCTTTATTTTGAGGATAAAAACCAGATAAAAAGCAGGAATAGGAAGAGAATTGAATGGTCTAGAGCTGGACAGAAACAAGAGCATGGAAGAGAAGGAGAAAGAGATAAAAACAAAAAGGAAAAGGAAATAAAAAAGAAATGCAAAGGCCATATAAGCAAGTCACCTCCTAAAGCACGAACTTTATGTCATCTTGAGTAAAGTGATCTTTGTTTATGTAGACAGATTTATCAGACATTTTTTATGTACAAGGGTCTAGGTGATGAATTTGAAATAGTAAAAGAATTTATTTGACCCTTTCTTCATTAAGATTTAATTGTTCTAAGTTGAACAATGATTCATTCTGTAATCGCTTTGTATGTTACATCATAGTGTGGTGTGTATAGGGCTCTAATCTGTAGACTCGATGCTCTGATGGTGAAGCACATTGGCAAACACTATATATACTACTATGGTCTTTATTAGTTGCAACAGTTTGAGTTTTGTACAATATTTACATTACAAATTATGTACAAGAACTGTTTAATTGGTCTCAATGTAAATTTGCAAAAAAGAATTATCTACGGTTCTTATAAATACTCAATTATATAAATGGTCAAAGTCTTGCATTAGCAAACGTAAAAATGATATTGTTACAACTTACAACTAAATACGAATGGAGGAAGTACATTGGCTAAAGACTTTCTTCTAATGCCTACAATAGCCTCAAGTACCACACTACCACAATATTTTCAGATTCAATTAAATTTTTTAAATTACAAAGTACTACTAACGTCACTCAGCTACAATAGCAAAGCAGAAACGAGAACCCCAAAAAAGAACAGTGAAGCCATGATGGATAAGTTAAAAGATACGGAGCAAGTATAAATGATAATACCTTGCAATGGTTTTTCACACTGACAATGGCCTCAGACAAACTCTCTTCTTCAAGTGGTTGACTAGTTCTCTGTTGAACTTCTTCCTTTTCCAGATGGGGATTGTCAGTATCTTTAGTAAGTTCTGTCATGTGATGAATCATTTTCATCACCATTATGAGCATAGAAAGAAATATTCCGTCCATCATATTTATCTTTTTCCATTCTTTCCATTTTCATCCGTCCCACGAAGTTCTTTTCATGCCATAATTGGTAACATTTGTATGGTTCAAACTCATTCATATCTACAAATTCAGTATCAACAAATATGTACTCCACTTTCATGTCCCAATGATAATGGGGCAGAGGTAAAACACAGACATAAATCCTTCATTGGTTTCTAGTGCTACTTTTGTGCTCTTTTAACTTTCATTTTAGATAGAGAAGTTGTTTTAAAACAACCATCACTTTAGGATAGCATTAATTGCTCATTCCCCACCATTACTCTTCTCCATGTAAGAATGTTACATAGTACTTAAAACATTTTTATTAAGGAGTACTTAAAACAATAATAAGGGTATTCCAGTTGATTTTTAGACTTAAAACATTTTTATTAAGGAGAACTTTCTAAATATGCAGTGGCATTAGTGCCTAATTTTTGCTTAATGGACAGATTCATTTATATAAACAATGTGAAAATGAAAGTAATAAAAGGGAATAGAAAGTCCAAAAAGAACCTTTTTCAAAGCCCAGTCTCCATATTGATCCATGTGTATATATAATTCTAAGATAACCTTTTTCACTGAAAAAGACTACTATACTACTATCCCAGATGGAAAAAAATCTATAGATTCTATACTCGCAGATATGGGTCTCTGGAAAAAATCAGACATGTGTGAGTTGACAATTGACATGAGGCAACACCTATGGTTTTCTTTGCAATGCACACGGACTTGAGGATGTATGTTGATTTGGGCTGCACCCCAAATCAATTCATTGGCTTAAGTAAAAATGGCCAATTACCATATAAACGAGATAAGAGAAAAGATCAAACCATTTAAGGCAGCATCAATATCCATGTCGCACCGTAAAATTTCCGCGCTCACCCTCTCATGTTGCTCACACTGAGTTTAAAAAAAATCAAAGCGAAATTTACATCATCAGCTGCAGTGGTAACTACTACTCAGTAACTAGCATTGGTAGCAAGTGAAATGCACTTCTAAAATAAGAAATATGACAACTAAAGAATTAAATCTCCTCTATCAACTCCACAATGAAAGCACACAATGAAAGTCCACAATGAAAGCACATAGAAGAGAAGAAAAAAGGACTGCAACTATTGTACCAAAAAAACTAATGTGATCAAACGAATCGAGCGGAAGTACTTTTCTAAAAAAGTAGGATTCACAATTTGTGAATTTTCATGCAGGTTACATATCATAAATTTAGTTATAAACCAACAAAAATGGATTTTGAAAAGTATTAGTTGGACACGTGATTTATGACATTGTACCTGGCCAAAACTTAAAACTAACTCTTCTTTTACCACAGTGAATAAAACTCTTTTTTGGGACTTTATATTAGAATATAAAGAAGAATAAGAGGGTGTTTAGATCTAACTGCTTCTGCTCCTGAAGGAGCAGAAGCAAAAGTTGAGAGTGTTTGGGTGAAAGTGCAAAAGTGATTATGGTGCTCTAATTTACTCCTAGAATCAGTTTTTTAGAAGCTGAGGGAGACCAGCTTCTGAAAACAGATTCTGCTCCTGCTTTAAAAAAGAAGCAGAAGCAGAATCAGTTCCAAACACCCCCTAAAAGGCACTCTCGTCCAACAGGAAATCAAAAGATGATGGATACAAGATTGAAAGACAGATAGCTCATAAAGGTTTAATTAGTATTTCTAGGAGAACACAGGAAGTAGGAGGAATTTGATGACTTCAGAAAGTCAGTACCAGCTTCTGCCTTAGGTGGTAAAGAATTCTCAAGATAGTACGGGATGATGCATTTCCAGAAGTTGAGGTAGCATTTAGCCTCTCATGATGTTGATTTTGTGATATAAGACTCTCCATACAAGAACCGCCTCCTTGCATAAAAATCATGTCATTATTGCATCCATCATCACAAGGTTTTGAAAGAGATTCGCCTATATCTTCCTGTCAACAAGTGTATACATTAAAATAGCAAAACATCTCAAACTGTACTCGTCCTACTCATTTAAGAAAATTCTTTGCTAAACTTGAGAAGGGAGAGATGTAAAGATAATATAGTAGAAGTTTGCTACACAAGCTTTCAAGAAATATACAAAAGTACATTAGCATATTAAAGTAGCCCAGTAAGTCAACTGTGTATAAATAGATGAGGTTTGGTCGAAGTTACTAATTCTAGTTGGACAGTGCACATCTTTGTGCTTGCCATTTGATTGAGCTACCCGAGATCCCTGATATTTGTCTCAATTTTATGGTCGTGCAACCAGGTGAGCACCACCCAATAGGGTAGCATCAAAGATTCAAAGCTCCAATACATGACAAAGAACCTTTCAAGACCAGCAGGTATTGCGAGTGACATTTAATTATCATAATAATAAAATGCCAAAAAAATCGACGGAGTATAGCATGTGCAAACAAGCATAACACTCAGCACAGAGTAGGCTTAATTTCAGATTATAACAGAGTGACGATGCCAAACTTGAACTCATGAGCTAACAGTTGACAGTTACATGGCAAACCAAAGATAAAAGACATAGTCGAGCAAAGGTTTAGAACACCTACCTCAGTCACACAATTGCCTGATGTCATTCTATGATCCTCTTTTAAAGGCAAACTATTCTTCAATCGACAATAAACTTCGGCGGCACTTGAATAGTTTTGGCTTTCAATTCCTCTCTGAGAGAAAACTGCACCTGAACCGTGCACATCCATACATACAGGTCCATCAACCTGCTCAGAGAAATCAACAGTTTGGAATTCCCTGTAATTGTTCTTTCTTGCAAGTTTGTTACTTCTGGTTTTAGGACTGTCACAAAGTGATTCCTCTGCAATGTCATCAGGACTGGAGTTAACACCAACTTGAGTAATTAACTTTCCACAAGAGTTCACAACTGTTTGATCACCGGTTAAAGGAAGAAGTTCTAATTCCGAATTATGATTTGGAAAACCCTTTGACGACACTTCCCTGTTCCAAGAATTTATTGAAGCACCAAATAAGGAAACATTGGAGCACCATATAAGGAAACATTGAAGCAACAAATAAGGAAACTGTGCTGACTAATACTCAGGGATATATTTACGGGCAAAATAGTCTAAACTCTAAAGAAAATTGCATTCATAGTTTCAGATCCAAGAAAACGCTTTACAAATTGAAATCACTGATAAACAAATATGGAAAATGACTTAAGTGTTACTACTTTGTTAGTTTGCTCTGCAAATATGCTCACACAGACATGCTAGACCAATTAGAACACTGATGGTGCTTTAGAAGGAATACCAGGAGTTAAGATTATCAAAATCTAAAGGCTACCTAAATTCGAAAAGAGGGAGATAAACTTGATTGTAAACTCTTGAAAGTTACATAAATGTATGTTTGCACTAACAATGGAGTAGATGAGCCATAGAGTGATAAATTATTAAAACACGTAAAGTAACATTGAATAAATCATTCTCAACTTAAGTGAAACAATACACTACCTCCGTCCCATTTTATGTGTCTTACTTTGGTTTGGCACAACTATTAATAAAGTGGTTGAAAAAGTAAAAGTTGTGGTTGAGATTTGAGTATAATAAAGTGAAATGTTGTGGACCACATATTTGTTTCCAAAAAAGAAAATGTGACATTTATTTTGGGACAACCCAATAAGACAAGAAAAATGGGACGCAGGGAGTAGTATGTTAGTGATGATTCACAGAATGTTCATAACATACCACACAAATGAAACTTATGTATAATTAGTTATATGAAGTAAAATTCACTTGCAATAGAGTATTGATGAGCACATTATTATGAATATTTGAAGTATTGTTAAAAATTGCGTGTCGATTAGCAGAATAGCAGCAACCAGAAGTTTATTACTTCTCAAATTTGACAAGTGTTTAGGTAATATTTCCTAAATGGTAAAGAACAATTTCAAAAACTTCTTTACATATAACTTTACATGCCTTGGTCAGGCAGTGGACGAGCTCCAGGAGTGAAGAATTTGACCATTTTGAACAAGTAAACTTTTGATAGGCAAAATGTCCAAGGAACCCATCAATTAGGAGACATGATCCATCAATGTTTTTAATGGAGTACACTGAAGTCCAGGAATGGTTCTATGCAGGACAGCAGGAGCATGTGAACTATTAACTACTTCGTATTATGGAGCGACAGTATGTTTACCTAGAAATCCAATCAGACAAAGCCTCCATGTAAGGTAGCATGTGGAAATATTTGACAAATGAAGTCACCATCCATCCGTTAGAGCTTCTCTTGACCAGGGGACCTTGCAAGCTGAAAAAAATCAATATATTATACAGCTGTTAGCTCATTCACAATATCCTTTTATGTTAAGGATTGTTTAAAAAATTGAAACTCACTAAAAAACTTTTTAGGACTCATTGCAAATAAGGATGACATTATTTAATTTATTTACATAGTGTCTTTTTTGCACCTGGATAAGAATTATCAGCTTGCAGAAGTGAAAGTATGGAATTCAATAAGGTTACAATGAAATCAAGATTCACATTAAATGAAGTCTTGCTAGTCAGTCTGGTCAACAAAAGTTTGCTAATAGTCAATAGGATGTAGTCAAGTTACTACATAAAATACTCCTTCATTATTCTTTTCATGTAATGTTACCATAATTGGTCTCTGGTTCCTGGTTCATAATAATTTCCAAACACTCACAAATAGATTTATCTGATATGCTCCATCAACATATTCAGTGTTTGAGAACATTGAAAACTGGTACCATGAACAAACCTTCCAATGATATCTTTAATATGAGGCCAAGTGTCACCATTGTTAGATTGAGTGTTTTGCATAAGATATAAGCGAGCAGCAGCCTTTGGTTTATTTAAGGAATATACAATATGGGTCTCTAGAACCACCAAATCCCTTTTACCGATGCCTGTTTCACAAAAAATAAAAATCACACTGATAAGAGGCACTCCACCACTTCAGGCTTGATTATAGATTCTGTTCTTCACAATCTCTTTAATGAACTGAAAAATAATACAGGAGAAGATGCTTTAAAAAATGATGCCTAAGTGTCAGTTATATGATTCAGCTAGTGAAAGATCTAGTGAAATATTTAATTCCTAAGCCACACGAGGAACGAAAGATACATAAATGGAAAGTGGAAAGGAAAGCTCCCAAGTATTTAAGAAGCACCATGTCATTATAAGGCACTTCTCATCGCTCAGGGATCAACTGTTCACAACGGAATGGTTTTTTGGTGGGGAAAAGAATTACTTATAAACTGTGACCAGTCAAATACTCAAACCCAAGTTTCATGAAATCAAGAACAAACAGACGTGTATTTATTCTTAAAATACCTGCCACATTTTTAACAGCGGAAAAAGCTAAATCCAAGAACTGATCATTATCATCATTCTTTTCAAAATTATTCAATATTAATTCTGCAGTTCCTGTCTGTTTGTCTTTGCATTCTGATTCAAAAGTATTATGTGCACGAATACTAGAACCCTCTAGATCTTTCTCAATTATAGATATAACGCCATGGGTAATGTCACTTTCAAGTAGCATGCAATTTTGCCTCCTCAAGTTCACTAAAAAGACAGCAACTTTAGACACTGTCCAGTCATCTGTAACGGGAACACTTTTTGACGCGTCCAGAGCAGTAGATATGTTGCATGCACAGTGTATGGCCTTTTCTGTTTGTGAAAGTTTATTCTCGAAATCATCCATCATAGAATAATCCACTTGATGCATGAGTTTCATGTAAGCCATCAAGTTTGGTTTCAATACAATGGCCAACTTACAAAACGACGTGAAATCAAGAAACTCCGATTCTTGATATTGCTTTCGATGATAGTAATTGTAAAGCAACACCACCGCATGCATCTGTCATGAATGAACAGTACATTAAATTCTGCCTCAGCACATTGGCATAAAACATAACAATTATTGTTTCAAGAATCAGCATTTATGTCATCCTCACATTGTACAGAACACAACACCATAAAGTAACAAATGTAGCTCAAGTTTGAGCTTTGCAATGGAGTTTAGCTAAGATGAACTATTTCAGAGTCAGGTGAGCTCAAACTACAATGGATAATTGATAATGTCTTGATCTAGGCTTAAATGATAAACTCATACACCAAGGCTCTCCATACAGGGAAAAGAACGTAAACTCTCAATCTCATCAATAACCCAAGCTCAACCTTTGACACCCATTGAAAGAGACGGCAGAGTAAGGAGCATTACGTTTCAGTAATACAATTAAAGGGATTATCAAAGTTCAAAACCTTTTCCAGAAAAAGGAAAACCTGAATTGTTGAAATATTACCTGTTTGGCCACTGTCTGATGTTGGGAAGGAGTAGGGGGTTGTCTAGTTCGGCAACTGGGCAAAAAAGGCTCAACAAAATGCTCCAACAAGGCCTGAACCACTTCCTCCGAAAAGCACATTTCTTCCATTTTCCCCTTCCACATCACAAACGGACATGTCAATGCAGCACTAACTCGGAAGAAATGAAAAGTAAAGTTTGGTTGTTTATGTTATAAATGAAGGAAAAAGTACTAATGCATCCCTAAAAGACGTGCGCTTCTAATCAATGCTTTAATCTTGTTTTCAAATGAAACCCAGAAAGCCATTATACATTACCGAGTGAGTAAGCACTAGTTGGTTCTTATGCAGATGACGCCATACGATGAACACACGAAAGTGAAGAGTGAGGGGACTCGGGGAGTGCCATTTGGAAGAACAAAAGGCGACAAAAGAATGGATATTATATGGGAGTTGGTGCACTGTAGTAAAAGCGTGACCTCTATGAAGACGCAAATTATACCGTGGGATCATCCCACGGTGAGCATGGTGCTCCAGATTCCAAACGGTGCCGTTTGATTATTAAAAATGACCGACTTTCTTCAGATTTGCAGATTCGTGCCCTATCAGATTCGAATTTAGCTAAATCACACAATTAGATCGCTTCTCCTCTTCCCTTCATTGCTGGAATCGCTACCAGAAAGGAGTTCAACTCACTACACCAAATTGAGTCACCTCCCATGACGAAGTTGATTCTTGAAGATGGGAGCTACAACAGTTTCCCTTCCCCATCAAAGCCTCCAATCTCCTTCAGAACCGCACGGTTCTCATCTGCAACTCCGACGACGTTTCCGCCATCAGCACCGACGAGGAGCTCCAGCCCGGTCACCTCTATTTTGCTCTCTTGCTGGCCCGTTTCAAGTGCTCCGTAGTGCTCTGTTTTTTTTTTTTAAGAATGCTCTCTGATTCTCTTTTTTTGGGCAGCCCTGCTAGTTTCTTGAAAAGTAGATTTGGGTTAAAAAGTTACATTTTTGTTAAAAATATTTACATTTCTAATGGTATGAAGTTACATATTCATTTGTGTGAGTTACATATACATATTTTTATGCTTAAGTTACATTATTTTATAAGCGAGTTACATCTTCTAAAGCGCAAGTTACATTTGTCATCAACGCGAGTTACACTTCTAATAACATGAGTTACATAAATAAATCATGTATTGAGTTACATGAAACAAAAAAATTGATTTTTTAAAATCCTGGTCATGATATTAAAAACAAAACATATTCACAATTTATGTAAAGTAATTGTGTAGTTACTCGTTTTTTTCATTGTTTACATTGAAATCAATGTTTCATCTCTTAGGCATCGTATTGGATAAGTTACATTTCAACTGACCTACAGTTACATTTCTTATCAACGTGAGTTACACTTCTTTACACGCGAGTTACATCACGATATTACTGGGACAAAAAATAAAAAATTAAAACCTACTGTTCACGCGTGTTACTGTTCAGGTGTGTTACTGTTCACGCGTGAATTTTTTTAATAAAAAGTTGTGCAAAACTACGTCGTTTTAAGAGCAGGAGTATGGTCCTCATCGTGGGATGATACCACGGTATAGCGATGATACCACGTTTGAAGAGGGGAGCTCCTTTTATACTCTGTATAAAATAGTGATTATTTGGAATTCATTTGGTTTGTTTTTACTTTTTTGATTTTCTTTAAAATCGAAATTTAATACTACGTCTGTTCTCTTTTAGTTGCAACATTGGACTTTTTGCACTATTCACATATTCTAATTTGACTATATTTTATTAATTAATGTATTATAAATTAATTTTTTTAAAATATTGTTAAATTCTTCTCATTCTAAATTTTCAAAATATGAATTTTTTAATTTTTTTACTAATAAGGAATGAGAGATATTAATGGTCAAATCTGCGCATTGGCAAACATGAAATGTTGACTGTTGCAATTAATATGAAACGGAGGAAGTACGTAGTACTACGTATAAACTACGGAGTATCAAGCAGGTTCCCATACTATATCAAATACTATCGGACTATCTATAAACGTTTTTTCTTCATGAGTATTAAATTGAGTACTCATACTATTAATACATACATACAATTAACTCCTCAAAGCTATGTAGCACGGAAATTCTCGGGAAAGAGTACGTTTCCCGTTTTGGAAACTCTCGGAAACTCTTTGGAAACTCTCCAAATAAGCCTTTTTGAGCAAAAGCTTACGTTCCCCGTTTCCTCACGATTTTTGCGTTTTCGTGCAACATGGCCTCAAAGTATTAAAAAAGTGCAATCTAAGGGGTGTTTTGGATTTGATTCTAAAAGAGATAATTCCATAAGTAAAACTAAATAATGTTAAAAGTTCAACAATAGGACTTGAATGTACGGTTATGTTTTGTAGGACTAAAAAGAGTTAGATAGACAAAACTACCCTTAATGAATAAATCATTATTTATTAATAATGCAAATAAAATAATAGAAATAAAAATGACAGCAGTGCTCGATGCAGCCTCTGAGCAGCACACAACCCAACCATCGCCAACATCATTGCCACCTCCATCGCCGCCGCCTCCACTTGTGACGTCGCCGCCACCGCCGGGTCCGCCGCCTCCACCGCCGACATTGCCGCCACCTCTGGTTCCACTGGTGTCATCTCCGCCTCTACCGGTGTCACTGTTGGCCGCCTATACTAATGTCACTGTTGGACGCCTCCACTGGAGTCGCCGCCCCCCTCCACCGGCATCACTGATGGCCGCCTCCAACGACGTCGCCACCAGCTGCTTCATCTGCCACGTCATCTGGCGATGCTTTAAAGATCCATCCGCCACCAGATCTGAGATCTGATTTCTTCTAACTTGATAATATTGCCATACAAGTACCATCTTGCAGTTGTATTGCCATCTTAATATAATGATATTATTGCCATCCTAACAGAAAAAAGATGGCATTTTCAGTTTAAAAACATGTCATTAATGTCTTTCATAAGAGTATTATTTCCATCTTTGTATCTTTAGTTCCATAAAAATAGCATTCATTTTCGAAGTGACATTTTAAGATTTAGAGGACCAATATTAAAAAGGTAAATGTCATCTTTTAGTTAGAGGGTTATCATAATGTCATTATTGCCATCTTGATAGAAATTAAATGACATATCCAGATTGAAAAACATGGCATTAATGCCATAAAAATTAATTCATTTTAAGTGATTTTTCATATTCAAAGGAATAATATTATAAAGGTAATGATATTATTCTGAAATTAACTTCCAATAGATGGTATTTTTGGAATAATAATAATAATAATAATAATAATGACATTTTCGTTTTAAAAAATAACAAAAATTAAAAAGATAAATATCAAACTAAATAAAAATTTCGAAATATATAAAAGAATTTGACAAATAGAAAAAACAGAGGAGAAGCAAAACAATGAAGAAGAAGATTGAAAAAAAATAAGAAGAAATTGAAGAAGAAGAAGAAGAAGAAGAGAAGAAGAGGAAGAAAAAGAAGAAGAGAAATTCGAAACTTACCTATGAGGTTGTCACTGCTCGCCGCCGCCCACCCGCCGGAGCTCCAGAAAAAACGCCTTGATACTTCTAAAATCGGTCAGAGATGGAGAGATTTTTTATGTATTGAAAATCTGGAGATGTGTGAGAGGAGCAGATTTGATTAAACAAGAGATGTGAGATCTGGAAGATAAGGTTGGCCTGGAGATTGTCGGCAGATCTAATTTGTTGGGAGAAGAGAAAAGAGATGGGAGAGAGAAGAAGAAACGAGACAAGAGAGAAAAGGGGAAAAGGTTGGTGCGTATGGTTTGTGAGAAGAAAGGGTAGGATGAGAAAAAAATAGAAAATAGTCCTATCTTGGTAATAAAATAACCTACCGTCCTATTCTTGCATTAATCATTTATTTTAGTCCTATTTTAATCAATAACTTATTCTAAAACTGTTTCTGCTCCTTCAAAGAGCGTGAGAAGTTGGAGTATTTGAGTGAAAGAGCAGAAGTGCTTCTGATGTATTAATTTACTCTTAGAATCAGTTTTTTAGAAACTGGGAAAATCAACTACTTTAAACTGATTCTGATTCTGTTTAAAAAAAAGCAGAATCAGTTCCAAACACTCTCTAACTTTTTAGCGGGTTAGATGTTTGTATGTGGGTAGTCTCTAACTTTTTAGCGGGTTAGATGTTTGTATGTGGGTAGTCTCTAATGTGACTAACTACATGGCATTATTTCTTGAGAAATGCTAAAGATATCCCATTTTGGGTATCCATTTTTACCTTAAATGTGTGGCCACAAATTGGACTAAACACATTTAAGTGGAGCAACCAAAATGGGTGGAATACCCATCGCATTCCTCTTAGTACGTACTACGTATTTCTTTTCATTTTTGGATTGATCGAGCCTTATGTGACTTGCAATCTTTCAATTTATTATTGTTCATCATCTACCATGGGGAGGGGGGCGATAGTGAGGTCTGGGTTAAAGTAAAAAGAGGAATCATCTTTGTCAAGTGACCCTATTTATCAACTGATGAACGCATGTTACCGCTAGAAAGAAAAAAAAAACAATCGACCAAAACTCAAATCGGCAAGAATGAATAGTGCCAGTTTTAGGGGTCAGGCACCTAGACCATTGTCTAGGGCACCAAATTTAAGAGGGGCACCACTTTTTATATAAAATTATAAAATTAATATATATAATGTACTTCGTATTAATGTTACATAAATTATATCCTACATCCGGATATACATGTACATTCGGTTATTTTGTAATTGTTAGCAACTTTAAACCTTTGCTCTCTCATCTTCAATTCCTTCTCGTTGGATCTCCGTTCCATCCTCTTTCCTCTTCCGCCGTCTTCCACTTTTCCCTTTTCTCGTTGGATCTTCGTTCCATTTTCTTTTCTTTTCTCTTCAGCCGCCATCTCCTTTTCTTTCGCCGCCATACTCTTCGTTCCTCTTTTCGTTGTCATTCTTGATTGTTACTTTTTAGTTTTGTCTTTACTTTTATTGGTAGTTGGTTGGTTTGACTTCCTTTTGTTTTGTCTTTTTCTTTACTTCTTTTATTTGTTGTTTACTTCCTTTTCTTTACTTCTTTTCTGATTTGTTTTTTTTGAAAGTTCTTTTCTGATTTGTTATTTACTTCCTTTTCTTTATATATTAGTTAATACTGAACATATTAGAAATGAGTTTTACTTTATACTCAAATGAGTAAAACGCCAAAAAAATGAACATACAGAAATGAGTTTTTGAATTTTTGGATACTCATTTTGTAAGTTATGTATGTTCATTTAGTATCTCTGTTATGCGCATTTTTAAAATGTTTTAGCAATGTATATTTTAAAAGTCTCATATTACATTAGATTTAAATTGGAGTTCATTATTGACACGGGACCACAAATCATGATCGATACTTAATTGCAGATTCTAATGCTCAATAACGGCGGTTTGATGCTCATTGAAAATGTCTTGACGCTCAACAAACAAAATTTACAATTTTCATATCAATGCTCATCTTGCAAGTTGCATATGCTCATTTTTATAGGTCTGATACTCATTTTTATGTTACGGAGGGAGTAATAAATATCTGGATGTCTAAATAAGGTCATAAGGATTTTAACTTTTTAGTACGTAGTATTTGATTTAACTTGTTGAATGGCTAAATGCCTATATACTCCGTAGTACATAGTACATACTAATTACAATTGGGTTTGTGTGATTGCAAGTGAACTGGTGTCTACTAGTCTACTACAATTGTAAAGTTAAATAGTAGCGAGTAGTATTTAACATGCTAAATGTATGACTAGTAGTTATAATTTATTTATTGGGTTAATATTGCTATATTGGTAAAAGAAACTGGTATTGTGTTGATGAGATTATATGATATAGACTTGAAATAATTAATTTGATGATATTGATATTACTAAATTAGTTATTTTATTTGATTTATCATTCTATTTAGAAATTTTAGGTTTTTGTTAATTGATTTATTTATGATTTTTTTTATTATATATCTTAATAATTATTCTGTAATATATAGCTGTAATATTTAATATATTATTTGTGGGGCATGTAAAAAAAAACCGACCCGCCCTGACCCGAGCCATTTGGGGCGGGTCCGCCCCGCCCCGTCTATACAATGGGGCGGGTCCGCCCCGCCCCGCATATACAATGGGACGGGTCCGGGTATTAGTATTGACCCGTGACGCCCCGACCCGCTCAATATACAAGTATACATACTTTTTCTTAAATTATACTACAAATATACTTCAATACACATATGTGTGTATAATAAATCATAAACTCTTTGATCTTATAATATATTAATATTTATATTTGAAGGAGATGAGCGACGAATAATCAATATTTTCTTTATATATAGCTTATTAATACATATATTCAATTATTAATATAATTGAATAGATTTAACTATTCAAGTCTAAGTATTTTTTCTTAATTTTTAAAATTTTAGCGTATCTGAATTTGATTTAATATATTATTCTGTAATAATTATTTAGAGATAAACTTATGTAGATTCAATTGGTAACAACACCCCACAAATAAAAATACATACTAGCTAATTAAGTTACGACGGGGCGGACCTGCCCCGCATGAAGCGGGTCATGGGTCAACAAGTTTGGACCTGTGCGGTCACAGGGCGTAGGGCTGTGCACCGGTTCAAAACCGGACCGGACCGGACCCAACCGGACCGGAACCGGAACCGGATTTGCCATGATATAGAAACCGAAAACCGGACCGGATGTATTCCGGTTTTTATCCGGAACCGAACCGGTTTATCCGGTTCAAAACCGGAACCGGACCGGAAAAACCGGTTTCTAGATAAATAATTTTTTTCTTTCCTAAAAAAGCTACTAATCATTTGATAAAGATGGAGTACTTATTATTAAAAATATTACTTTTATTATTATTGTTTTCTAAACTCATTTTAATTAATTTTAGTGAGCAAATATTGAAGTAACTTGAGACTAGAATAATATATATGAGTTAGTTTTATTATTACGAGAATAAAAATGAATGGATGAATATAATATTAGGATAATATATATTATAATCATTATGAAATTGATTGCTATTATATACGTAGTATTTTTATTAGTATGGAGTATTATTTTTTATTTTATAACTATTATTATATTAGTATTAGTAAATATATTTTTAAAAATATAGCAAAACCGGTTAAATCCGGTTCAAACCGGTATAATCCGGTTTTAAACCGGAACCGGACCGGAAACCGGTTTCCTAAATTTTTATAACCGAAAACCGGACCGGATATCATTCCGGTTCGATCCGGTTCCGGTTTTTCCGGTCCGGTTCGGTCCGGTTTCCCGGTTCAAACCGGATAGTGCACACCCCTAACAGGGCGGGACGGGTCCATGAGTCCATCCAGTGAAATCACGAGGCGGATCCGGGTCTTGCAATACCCGCACTGCCCCCACCCATTGCCATGCCTATAAGGGTGATTAGGTTCTCTCAAAATCTTGTTTACATTTCTTTTTATAAATGATGAATAATGATGATACATTATATCTTTAATTATCAACTAACTCTGTATTTCTTACAAAATAAAAACCCTAGAAAGAAGATATTTTTCAAATTTTCCTGGGAGGCAAGGACTCCCAAGGATTTAGTTACATTTGCCAACAAGCATCTCTTAAAATCTGGTTCAGCCGTTGACCGTTGTCCACTGTCTACACGTACACAGGGTGGGTACATATGATGGACATGGTCAATATTGACTTCTCAAACGGATTGCGGAAACATTTTTCTTTCTAATTCAGTAATTAGTGAACTCGGGGAATAAACATGGCGTCAATGGTTAAGCAGTGTGATTCCATTGTGAGGAAAATCCAATGCATACAGCATCCTCTAAAGATTGTATCTCGTCGATTGGGTCTGGGCGCAAATAATGATCCAGATTTGAGCAGAGATTTTTTTGTCCAGCTATGGGTTGCAGATAGAAAGAACTCAAAGAAGCATAAGGCTGGCGCAAAATATAGACCAAAAAGTCATGGCGTCCTGAACCATGGCGAATCAGGATCTTGTAGTCATGTCTCTGTTCGGGGGTCATCTGTAAGGCGTCTCTCAGGGGTTTATGCAGAAGAGAAATCTTCCTTCGATGATATAAAACCCAATCTGAGACAACCGCCGCCGAGCCAATCTGTGGCGGATGTTCTGCAACCTTCATCACCTGAAGAGGTAGATGTTTCCGCACTCCCACTATGATATGAGAGTTTAGATGTAAAGAAGGTGGTATCAATACAGAGACTTTAATTTAAGCGTTGAGCATTTCTTGACTTGAAATTCCTTGAAAACTAACCTGCCTTCCCCCCTTCCTCCTTTCAGTCCATGGTTGCTCATCTTCTCGCTAGATCCAACTTGCTGATTACTAGAGACATAGAATGGGCGAATCTTGTTCTTGGCTTTGAGCAAGTAAGCTCTTTAATTATTTGACAGAATTTCCCTTTGCAATAAGGTTAGTTGGTTCATCACTTTATAATTTTGAGTTGAAAACTGTAATGACTTTGCAAGCATGCTCTGATTAATGCTTATTATCTCATGAACTCTCTTTTTTTTGCTTCCTTGTAGAGCATGTGTCTACTACATATGCACTTTCATAGTTCCATGCTGCCTATAGGCGGCAGTGTGATGTAATAAGATAACAATAAATGTCATTCCTTTTAAATCTTAGTCCTCTACTTCCTAATAGGAGTAGCACCAAGCACCATTCGAGTTTCTGGCATTCATACAAAAGTCAAATTGTTAGTGATGTAGAGCTTCTATATGGTGCATACATTTGCTTGTTTAGTTTCCTGCATTCACACTAAAATAATAATGTTAGAGACTTAGAGCTTCTATATGATGCTTGCTCATCATTTTGATGATGTCTCAATTAAAACTTAGAAAAGAGAGGAGAATGTGATAAGTCCAAGCCCTTGAGTACTTTTAAGAAGCTTTCTCAATGTGCAGTGATGATTACAGCGATCATGTTTTGTATAAGCTGCCCAGAATTGATTGACAGATTTGTTTGTTTTTGCAAATGTTTTTTTTTGTTAAGAGTTCACCAACCATCCTGATACTATTAACTATTAAGGGTTCTGCTGGAAAAGTATTTAGTGTTTGAGTCATGCTACTTCTTTACTTTCTCAAATTCCTCGAAACCCGAGGGAGGAACTTCTTGGAGGGGGTCACATGATGTAATACCTGGATGTATCGTGGATCGTGGGGCAGTTACCGGTTTCGTCTAAATGTGATCAAATACAGAATCAACCGGCTTTTGAGGGTCTCATGGGGGGGGGGGGGTCGTATAAGCCTCATGATTAGGTGGGCGGCGCTCATAACCAGGAATATATAAAAAGCCCCCCCTCCACCTTTTGATATGTTGAATCTTACCGCCACTGTTTCTGGTTCTCCTCTGTGTTTTGATTTTTTTATAATTCTGATGAGGTTGTAATAATTGGTGCTACCTTTTAATTGTAGGAAAACAGATATGCTATTGTAGATGTGTGCTACCCAGAATCGGTATGTACATACTTGCTGCATCCATCCCCAGATTTTCTTCTCACCTTCCTTTTGCTGTACGTCTCAAAATTACCTTCTCATTCTCTTTTTAGGAAATAAAGAATCATGTTGTATTTTTCTTTTCTTTTCTTTTTAAATGAATTCCAACCATACAATTTCACTTCCTTATTAAATAAAAGAGTGAAAAAAGAAAATGTGAACCTAAATTGGGAATGAAGGGGGTGCAATTTTCATGGTTTGGAATTTGGATACATTGGTTTTAGACTTTCAGTTTTGATGGAATGCTTTTGATAACAATATACTTCTGCGATACCTGCCCGAATTTGTCTTTTCAGCCTGCAGGTTTTATCCGCGAAAAAAGTAGTGTCATTGCAAGACAGGTATTTTTTTGGTTCATTCTAAACAAAGTCTACACATGTTTTTTTTTTGTGACTTTGTTATGTCCTTACTACCAAAAATCCGCTGGTATTTACTAGTGGTGGCATGATTCATTTTGTCCCAGATTTCAGTTAAGACATTATTCAAAGTGGTTACTAGTTCCTAATTGATACGTATATATGTGCATGCACGCTTGTGTGTGCACGCTTGTGTATAAATGTATATGCACATACTTATATATATATATATATATTGTGTATGTGTGTGTGTGTATATATATATATATATCAATAAATATACACATGTGACTTCCATGTTTTGTAGGACTAAAAGTGAAAAGACTTCACAAAATCACCATTAATGAAAAATAAACTAAAAACATAAAAACCTACGGTTGCCATTACCACTGCTTCCAGGCTGCCTGCTTCCCATTGCTACTCCTGCCTCTAATGGCGCCGCTGCTGTCCTGTGATACCACTGCTGCCGCCTTTCAGTGAGACTACTGCCTCTGGCCGCTGCCCTATAGCAAGACAGCTGCCACCCTCCTGTGAGACCACCTTCATCACCCTCTGATCTGACCGTCACCACCACCCTCTGGAGAGGTCGCCGTGCCATCAGACACCGTTGCCATCTCCTCTACCTTTGCCACCTCCTATAGTCCTATGGCGTAATTTCCATTTTTGTAAAAAAAATGAATGCCCTGTTAAAATAATAATGACATTTTTGTAGAAAACATGGATTTGAAGATGTAAAATTGTGTCATTTTCAAGATCTTAAAAATAAACATGGCATTTTTTCAAAAAAATGACATTATGTACTGCCATGTTAAAATAATCACGTCATTTTCATATAAAAATATGGCATTTGAGGATGTTAAAACATGGCATTTTCATATAAAAAATGGCAGGTGTAGACGTAAGAAATCGGCAAGTGGGTTAAAAAAATGCCATCCTGTCAAATGTAATGCCATAACAGTGAATTATTTTCAAATCAGTGTAAAAAACCAGCAATGATGGCTTTTGTAGATTCAAATTATATGAAAAACAATCTGAATGATCTAAAAAAAGAATCAGAATTAATAATTAAACAGAAACCCAAAAGAAGAAAAATATAGATGAGTGCGAAAAGAAGCAAAAAGAGGAGCCCGAGAAGAATAAATTAGAGGAGGAAGAAGAAGATTACCTGGTTTTAACAGAGAAATTGCAGAAGCAAAGTGTGAGGTCGCCGGAGAAATGGAAAAAGAGTGGTGTGCAGCTATGGTTGCATAATGGCATTGACATTATGCACTGCCATGTTAAAATAATCACATCTTTTTCATATAAAAATATGGCATTTGTGGATGTTAAAACATGGCATTTTCATATAAAAAATGGCATCTGTAGATGTAAAAAACCGGCAAGTGGGTTAAAAAATGCCATCCTGTCAAATGTAATACGGAGTACCTTAATAGTGAATTATTTTCAAATCATTGTAAAAAAAACCCAGCAATGATGGCTTTGTTAGATTCAAATTATAAGAAAAACAATCTGAATGTTTTAAAAAATGATCAGAATTATTAATTGAACAGAAATACAAAAGAGGAAAAATATAGAGGAGTGCGAAAGGAAGCAAAAAGAGGAGCCCAAGGAGAATAAAAAGAGGAAGAAGAAGATTACCTGGTTTTAACAGAGAAATTGCAGAAGCAAAGTGTGAGGTCGCCGGAAAAACTGCAAAAGAGTGGTGTGCAGCTATGTTTGTGGCGTTGACGAGCAAGCAACTGCTGTTGCTGGAAATCATAGGTTGTGGATGACAGAGAAATCATATATGGCATCACTGGGAAGCTAGGCGGCTGGAAATCGCATCCGGGGAAGATGGAAACCACAAACGATTTTGGGGGTTTAATTATATGAAGGGTAAAAATGCAATCTGGAGTCCTTTTATGGAATACTAAATATAAACTCTTATTTAGAAACTTTGACAACGTTGTAGTCTTATTTAGTGCAATTTCAATTAATTTAGTTTAAGTTTAAATCAGTACTCAATTAATTTTAATTCTAGTTCATGTGTTCATTTGTTAAAGTACTCCCTGTGATAATTTATATCAAGCATTTAAGTTATTTTGATTATCACTATGGGTCATTCGGAAAGTCTCTCCCTGCTTTAGTACAGGGGTAAGACTGCGTACATTTAACCCCCCCTTACCCCACCATAGGTGGGAGCCTTTGTGGCACTGGGGTAATGATGATTGATTGATTGATTTAAGTTATTTTGATTATCACCAAACTTAGTTTAGAAAATCATCACTTTCATATTGAAAAAACTTCCAATAATTAGCGATAACCTGTGACTATAATGAAAGTCTGAAAGTCAAGAAACCCCTCTGCCATTCCCTTGAGGCACGATACTCAGGACTAAAACTTTTCCACCCATGAAGGTTTAATTCCGTTTTAATACATTGTCGCAGTAGTGGTTATCACATAGACTGGTCCAGATTGACCTGGATCGGTCACAAGGGAAAAATTGGGAAAACTTGATGTCTGCGTTAATAGGGCTATTATTATTATATGAGCTTTTTAAACTTCTTTATCTAAAGTCCAGAGGGTTGCCTTTGGTGGTTAATAGGGTATCATTATTGTATATATTTGTGTTGTTTTCTTCAGTTTGATAGAGAATAGTGATTACACAATCTTCCTACCTATTTCTCCCTTGGCAAAATTTTCTAAAATCCTCCTGTGTTCCCTCCCATGCCCCCTTTGCACCAAAGAAATTGGTTAGTGTTCCCAACGACCTGATTTTGCTTCTAAAGATCTGATGTGCTTGCTATTGTACAGTTGCTTCGCCTCAGACGCCCTTTTGTGGCTAATATAACTGATGGTCTGGGTAATGAGCTTTTTAGGGTAAGAATTTCAATCACATTATTTCTACTCATTTAAACTATATGGGAATGTAATATGCTGCTACTATATCAGTATAATATGCATTCTCAGATATGAATATCCTGAATCCTGAATATTAGTATATTACCTCCCATTCTGATTATAATCAGGTACGAAGACCTTTTTGGTGGATCACTAGCTCTATTTATGCTGAGATCAATGGAAAAGTATGCGATTGGGAGTCAATCTATTGAAATTTTCTTTTTTATATCACCTTCTCTCATCAATATTTGCTTGACAATGTTATTGAAAAACATTTTTATGGAACTGCTCTTTATTCAGGAAATAGGTGTAGTCCACAGAAGATGGCATCTCTGGAGGAGAATATATGACCTGTATTTGGGGTAATATCATTTTCCTTTTGAATAATTTATATCTTTTCAGCTATTAACAACATTTCCAAAAATCAATCGCCAAACGTTCTTTTGACAAGTTGTTTGATAGATTTTGATTGCATAATCATGTAAGTTGTGGTTTCTTCACCAGTGGTGGCATCTTATTAGTTTCTGACCTGACTAACCTTCTACGACTACTAGTTAATTAACTTCTAGTTCTCACCTAACAGCAGACTGTAACTTTTTATGAGGATTTCTTTGAGTGCAAATCTACCATAAAAATAACTCTTTTTTGGTTGGTTAAACCGAACTATTTCTTTTTATGCATCATAATATGCATGATATAGTTGTGGGCCTTGTGGCGCTTGACATCCCTTAATGCTAACTCAAGTCTCAAAGCAATCTTGAATAAATATACTATATAGGACTCGTTTTTGTTAAAGTATTTGTATATCACGTTGTAGGAATGATCAGTTTGCCGTGGTTGAGAATCCTGGCTTTTGGAACTGGACTTTTACATTAAAGGACATTGATGGGAATGTGCTGGCTCAGATAGATCGTGACTGGAGAGGATTTGGTTTTGAGGTTATCATTATTTAGTTGTTTACTTGATTACTTCATAATATGTTTATTTTGGGGATATGCCGTGTTGCTCTAGGGGGCTTCTATTGTTAATGTTTTAGCTTTTCTATTTTTTGTTGTTGTAACAGTTACGGAGTATTAAATTTACCTTTCTCTATGAATCTATAACCTCTCTTTATCTTGTTTGAACCCTCACTTGGTGGTTGATGATTTCAGTATACAGCCACCAAGTTATGACAACTGGTACATTTTTTTTGGTACTTCTGAAAAACAAACTGGTACTAACGTGTGCATAAAAAGAATGTAGTCATAGATTCACTGATATATCAAGCTTACACCCGTCCCTACAATATGCAGGCAACTACATGAAGGCCAATAGAAAAGAACATCAAATGTTATGAGGAAACATTTGCGTTAGAAGTCTAAGATTATGTTTGGATACAGGAAAGTGCCAAATAAAGTATTTTTCTTAAGCTTGGTTTTGACATAGAAATTGCACAAGAAATCAATTTTTTTATATTTAGATTAGTTTTTAATTCTGTGCTTTAGTAGAGGGGTACGGCTGCGTATATCCGACCCCAGCGCAGTTGGGAGCCTTTGCAGCACTAGGATAATGTTGTTGTATTTAGATTAGTGTTTAAAAATAAACATAAATAAATTGAAGCACCAACTGGAGGCACTTTGCCCCTCAGTAAACTCATTATTTCAACTGCCATTGCACTATATTCAAATTGCGCACTTGGTCGTTCCACCCTTTCTTGTTTTCAGCTACTCCTATATATCAAAGTAATCAAACTACCAACAAAAAGTGCACAATACACAATCGTTGATTATAAATTTCCTGTCAATATCTGTCCTAGTCTACATCTGTATAGGCAAAGAGTCCATGTGTCGACAATTCTAGTGATTGCATACCGATGTCTTCACACATAGAAATTCTAAGAAATGGCCAGCAACACTCACTGCAAGTGAAGTATCAAGACAACTCAGAGATCAGTAAAGGCGTAAAGCAACTTGCCTACTAACCTTCGTTACTTAGTTATTTACACAGATCCAGACAATGGTTCTCTCTGTTTTGGAAGTAAGAGCAGAGAGAAGCATGACAAATAATGGATGCTCTATCTGATTTAAGCTGTAGTAACTAGTAACTCTTCTTTAAGGATTTTACTTGGGGAAATGTATGGGAAAAGTGCCTTTCTTGGCCATCTGACTATAAGGATTTTACCAGCTCAAGTGAAGTCCTTCAAAATCACTTGCAAATAGTTCTGGACTATCAGTTACATATCAACTTCAGTCCTCCATTTAGTACTTTGTTTAAACGGCGCCAATTTAGAGGTCATTTGAGTATTTTATTGTAGCAATCCTGTATATGTGTATTAAGTTAAATCATTTCATTTTGTTTAGCAAAAAAGATCTATTTAATAATTTCTACAGAAGAAAAAAATACTTTTTCCGACTCATCAAAATGATATTTTTCCTCATAAAGGAATAATACCTTGGCTGCAGGATTGCAAGTTTACTCGAATAACCCATTAACTGATGCCATTTAAACGGATTATCAAATTGCCTTTTAGCTTAGGCTGCTTATCTACTAGCTCACTTCTGCTGAAAATTCTAAATTCATTGTTCTGGAAACTACATAAGAGGGTCCCCAGAGGATGGATAGCAGAACTAGTTTCATCTAGAAAAGTCACTGGAAAAGGCCTACATGTTAGCCTGTGATGACGAGGCTGTTGAAGATCTGTCTCACTTGTGAGCTTACGCAAAAGTTTACGGTGACCAGAAAAGCATTGATGGATTGCCCATGTTTTCAATGATGATTGAAAGAGCTAATTCAAAGAAAACGCACACATCAAAAGAAAAGTACAAAGTTGGGTACTGTTACTGCTCATCTGCAGTATTTGCCAGGAAAGAAATTCAAGCCATCAGGATTGCCTCTGGTCCCATGTACAAGAAGGGAGCATATTCATTATAACATCTTTACAACAGTGGAGAGCATATTCACTAAATGAGATGAGAACAATAGTGCCTTAGAAGTCAATATAGTTATTAGTCACATGCCTTTAAAGTGCCACTGTTCAACTTCCTCCTCAGTTCATTCTATCATAATAAAGAAGAAACCTGATGATAATCATCTGTGTCTTGCAGATTTTCACAGATGCTGGCCAGTATGTGATCCAATTCGGCAAAACTGATTCCAGTAATGCTTCAGTTGGAGGGGTAAACATCTTTATGGATATTCCAACGTATGTAACTTCTTGTTAATAATTGTTTTCAAAACCATGTCTTTTTCTCTTCCATGTAGATTCAAGAGTTAGACGTTGTTCGTCCACTAACCCTCTCAGAGCGAGCAGTAGCTGTTGCGCTTGCTGTATCACTAGATAATGATTACTTCTCAAGACATGGAGGCTGGTAAGAACTTTGATATTTTATTTGTCTGCCAATAAATGAACTGCTTCGCTTCGCCCATTTTACAGGCATGCCAATCTGGCACTGCTTTGGAACGAATGTACTTTGGGAAATTGCCCTAAACAGGACTAAACGAGTTTGTGTATTCCAATGTAGGACTAAGATGTGTGTATTCCCTAAATAGGAGTAATTACTGTCATGTTTTGACCGTACAAGACTTTAAACGTGGGGTATTTTTCTAATTTGTCAATAATTACTCCTATTTAGGGAATAAAAACATGTCAGACCTATTTTGGAATTCTGAAACATTTTTACTCTTATTTCGGGAATTTTCCCATGTACATTTACCTAATACTGTTTATATCACTACTAAGTGATAAGAAAAGGTATAAAGAATTGACTATATTACACGTTAAAATTTTGGCTTGATTGTTACATATCATGTGTCACTGTCTTGTTAAAAAGACTTATTCTTCATTTTACCCAAAAGGGGCAATATATTGAAGTGTAACTTTGGGATGACATTATGATTTTGGATTCCCTGGCAAATTTTGACCAACCAGATTTAATGAAACTGCACATGATAGTGCTCCCATATTTTGATATCACGTTTTAAAATCCATGGGAACAGTCTATTCAACACCTTACGGCATGTTTGGATGAAGCAAGGTAGTCAAAGTCGAAAGGCGCACTTGAAGCGCTAGGGGCCTTCCAGCGCCTGAGGCGGAAGGCGCAAAAAAGCGCTCGCCTGACTTGGGTCAAGCGCACTATTCAGAAAATATTATGTATACTATTCTAGAGTGATTCAATATGACATATTCAACATCATATTGAACTAAATGCATCAAAAAGTCATGTTTCTAAAACATAAAGTCATGATTCACCAAACTAAAGTCATTGTTCACAAAAAAAGTGGGGTCTGTCTGTTGATTTTGCAATTTCAGTCAGCACTAGGGATAGCATAAATTATAGTGTATCAAACTATTAACTGAGTTAGATTATATGAAGTTTTTATACAGTTAAAATATGAAATGATAATAGGAAGATACAGAGTTATAGAGTGTATAATAAGATAAAATAATATAGAGTACAGATAATGTAAACTGGTAGTCAGGTACATATAATATGTTTGAGTTGTATAGAATATATTAGAAGCAAAAAGAACTATAAAGTATACATAGATGACTGGAACTGATAAATGTAAAGAAAGAAGATAGACCGAAAGAATAAAATGAAAGGATCCCCAAGAAGATGACATAATAAATGAAAACTACAAGCTGAAAAAGAAAGAAGGAACATGGGAAGATGATGATGAGGAAGACACCTTATGAGTTTCTGGATTCTGTGGGTTCGTTGAATGTGTTTCAGTGCTGAGCATGTTGTGCAAGTAGAGCATATAGCAGCGCAGGAGATTCATGATAGAAGACTTTTCCCACGACTAAGAAGGGTTTAATATGGGTTAAGTTTTTTTTACCTATTATTTGGACGGGCTAAATCTTATTATAAGTATGGGCTTATTATTTAATAAAAGGATCAAACAAAAAATAGGTACTGATAAGCCTTTCCCAGCCCAGGCGACTTAAGCGTGCGCTTTTCCCATGCTCTGCGCTTCAGCGCTTCTGCCCCTAAACTGCGCATTAGACAGGGAGCTGCGCCTGGGCATTCTTCAGTCGCTAAACCTCATTTGCGCTGCGCCTGGTGCGCTTAAGCGCCCAGGCGCTCGCTTTTGACTACCTTGGGATGAAGTGTTGAGAGGTGTTAGTAATGGAAGTGTTAGTAAGTGTTAGATGCAAACTAACCTTGTTTGGAAGAGTTATAAAAATGAAGTGTTAATAAAGGAAGTGTTTTCATTTAATTGACAATAATGTCCTTATCCTTTTTAATACCATGTACTACAGAGTAATATCATCTTCGTATATACAGACCTCTTTAGCCATAAAGGCATAAACTTGCTCTTCTTCTGCTCCGTAGTTGGAGCACATATACTGATATACATAGCGTCATAGCGAGAAGCCGAGAAGCCATTCGTGAACGTTCCATTGTTGGGGCAGCCCTTCTTCTTGTACTATCCAATTTTAAAGATGCACTCTGTCCCATGTCTGCAAGATATTCATTTTGGTATTTCTTAATGGGAGTAATGTTTTTAACATCCATCTCAAAGCTTTTTAATTTACGTAGAGCTTTGCCAAATTCTCAATGGAATTCATATGTACCTCGTATTACAAAAAGAAGGTTAAATTAGAATTGATTTGGAGTTGGAGAAAATCTAACAAAGACCACAGTACGTGACCAATGGGGAAAACGAAACTACGGAAGATTGGAATGGAGATAGAACGACAGATTGAAAGGGGCAAGGCATGTTCAACACTTCAAAACACTCCAATTTGGGGTGTTAAAAAAAGACACAAAATGGAGTGTTAGGGAGGTTTTACCTAACACTTACTAACACTTACTAACACTTACACTCCAGTTTTTTTAAAATTTCTCTCCCAAACAAGTGTTGAAGCCAAGACTCCTTAAACTTCCATTACTAACACCCTTCAACACCTAATCCAAACAGGCCGTTAGTTTCCATCATCCATGTGTTTTCCTACACTTAAAGTTGTGGTACAGGAAAACTATCTATATTTCTTCTCTTCATTTGATTTTTTTCAAGGATCTTTCCCTCCTAAAAGCTTTGCGCCTTATTCATGACATCTGAACTACCTTGCTTTTTTGGCTGTCCCATACATTATGTTTTTCATTTTCTCTACATATGTCTCTCTATTCATATTGAACTAAGATAACCACATTCTATATTTCTCAACCTCACCAAGGGTAGACTGCACAGAAACTCACCCAGTACATTGGTGGCCTTATACGAAAGTGTAGTTCAGCATCACAATATTAATTAATCCAGCCCTTTATTTATGGCCAGCATAATTTTGTGTAAGATTCGCTAACTTTTGTCTCAAATTAATGGCAGGGGGATTCCGTTTGTCGAAGTGGGCGAATAACCTGTCTGTGTTCTGACTTTGCTTGCAACCCATCTCCTGAAGTAAAACATTGCAGTGGGAAAAAACATAGGTGTGTGTCCGAGATACTTTTTGTACAGGGATAGAAGCAAATGATAAATTCTTCTTGGTTGGCAACTTTATTAACTCCTGCAAATGAGAAATTCTTCTGATTGATTGCATTGATTATTGACTAGTATTACACCAGAAGTCATCATTGATCTAAATGTCAAACCTCAATGTTGTCCACATGAGGTGCAAATTTGTGAATTTATGATTGTTACCAGTATCATGCGCGGGGAGAATTCCATGATGTTTAATATGCATCAAATCATGTCTCGCCTCAAATAAATGTCACTCAACTTTGTTCAGTCTCGGTGGCATCACACCTTGGGCCATCCATCTCGTCAAATTTTTCATTCCTTATTACGTCAAACTAATAATGTAATTCATGCAATTCTGTCAGTGATTATGTCGTGCTCTATTAATAAAAGCACTAAACTTCCATTTTTCACCAATTCAATGAATGTAGATAATCCACTTGAACTTAGTTATTCTAATGTCTGCGTGTTTTTGGCAAGACAACCAAAAACACGTAGCTGATCATAACAAGGCGGGTGTCCAAAGAGAATTTCATAGGGAGTTTTTAAACTGAAGAGGAGACAACGGTGTACGATTAATAAGATAAGCCGCGGTTAAGACGCATTCTCCCCGGAATAATATGGGAAGATTAGCCTTAAACCACAACGTCCTTGTCGCATTAAGAATATGTTGGTATTTGCGTTCAACCCGACCATTCTGCTATGGTGTGCCAACACAAGAGGTCTGAAAAATCATTCCGCTGGTTGGGGGGGGGGGATCAAGCAATTAAATTGTGTTCCGTAATCACTATAAAGGACATATTGCACTCTAACATTTTATAAACATATTCAAACTGCACACGAATAATCATCCATTATACTATTATAGTAAAAAACAATCATTAGCCTTCTATACCTCTGAGCTAATTGGAACTGACGCTTCATTAACAAATATTAAAGATTTCTTTTAGACTACTATGTCTCATGATGTGGAATCACTCTTCTCAATTTTTAATCAAAAATTCAAAAAAATTATTGCCTCTTCTAGGGGTAATCGAGACATTTTGGATAAAATACATGTTTGAAGATAAAGATATTGGGTGTGCAAATCCAAATGTCGAAATTTCGGGCGTCGTCTTCTCAGGTAATCATTTTTCTAAAGAATTTTATGGTGCAGCATCTTTGACAAGCATTTCTTTTCACATTCGAGGATGAATTTCTAGACCATGCTTCAAAAAGCGAGAAAAGGGCTCATGTTTCATCATTGGAGGATTTATGGGATTCAGATATAAATCAGGATATTTGTAACAAAGCTAGGTTGATCACGAGAGAAAACTGCTTGCCTACAGAAAATCTGAACGCTCAAATTAAGATATACAAGAAGAAGAATTAGCGATCATATCTAATGCGAACTAGGGATGTTTTTACTTGGGTTGAAATTTGTTAGTTTGGTCTGGTAATCACATGGTTTCTCTGTAATTTATAACTATCCAAGATTCCAAGTATGGTTTGATCTGATCTGGTCTGGGACCGAAAACAATCCAAGTAAAAACATCCTAGATCCAAACACGGGTGGAATTTTGAAGACTTTACCGAGCCATGGAATTATTCCGGGAGGGATAATTTGTTGCACTTTGGGTTGGTTTATGTTCATTTTAGCTTTTACATCTAGCTTGCTGCTTTATTATTTTCTTTTTATTTTTTATTTTTTGTTTCTTTGTTGTACCTTCTTCTTTTCTTTATTCAATAAAAATTTTCCTTTCTTCAAAAATAAAAATAAAATAAAAAAGGGTTTGGAGTATTTGATATATATATATCTTGACTATTTCTCGATTTGTGCATGTCATCCTTGTGTAGGGGTCATGCTAATCTTGATATATAATAGAATTCCTATCAAAGGAACTACTACCTCCGCCCCGTTAGAAGGTTCTCATGACAAAACAACACGATTATTTAGCAATAATTAAATAATGTAATTTGAGTATATTTTGAGAAATAATTTTAATAGGTATGTAATATAATGGGGTTAGTATTGATAACTGTGATGTTATAAATCTACTATTTTCAATATTTAATAATTAAGTTGTCATTTAAGATTGTAAATTGTTTCCTAAAATAGAAATGAAAACATTTATATGGGACGTCCAAAAAAAGAAGCTGGAAATCTTTCTACGGGACAGAGGGAGTTATAGATAATTAAAGTGTCATATGATCACATACTATTTAATCTTTCAATTTTTATAAGGTCTCAAATGTATATCAAGATATACCACTCCATAATCCCAGTATTTAAAGAAACCGTAAGGGTATGTTTTGGGAGTTTTGGGAGAGGAAAGCTTTAAAGGTTAGTTGTAGGAGTAGAATGTGAGAAAATCCTTCATGTTTGGAGTTACAAATTTGAAAAGATAGTCTTTGATGGAATTATAATTAAAATCCATTTTGAGATATGGTTGATTCAAATAGTCAAACATATACCGAGTATTCATTTGAAATTGAACTAAGGGGGTGTTTGGATCTGATTCTTAAAACTGTTTCTGCTCCTTCAGGGAGCAGAAGTAGACGTTGAAGTGTTTGGATGGAAATGTAGAAGTGCTTCTAGTGCCTAAATTTACTCCCAGAATCAGCTTTTTTAGAAGTTGGGGGAGACCAGCTTCTGAAAACTGATTCTGATTCTGCTTAAAAAAAAAGCAGAAGCAGAATCAGTTCCAAACACCCCATAAAATTATCATTAAGTTAATTATTCTTCAATACCCTCCAATTTGAGGGAACTTAAAAATTGAGCATTTGAACCCCAAAGCAAAAAGGGAGGGACACAAACCTTCCTCATCCTTCCCCTCAACTCTAAAACTTAACTCCCAAACATACCCTAAAATGAAAACCACATTTGACTATCTTTACCCTGCTCATCATGAGCATTCAACCTTAGCATGGGCCTTCGTATCTGTAAAAACTGTCTTCTTAACTACAAGTTCTTCCAACAGAGGGATGTTTCTCCTCACTAGAAGTGTGATTTGTGAAGGTGTCCAGACTCCAGAGGATGCCTTAGCCATACAAACAAACCAAAACATTATACTTCGTACTTTCTGCTCACTTAAAGATGCAATTCATTAATGCAGAAAATGATAGGATGGTAATATCCCCACAATCATGAAGCAGCCGTCAGACAAAATCTGTCAACTAATTCATCTTCAGTATACGATCTGTTGATTTTAGCCATAACTCTCAATGATCATTTCTGTTAGATCAGCTTTGCAACCGCAGACTCCTTTGCTTTTGAGGAATCAGATTGCTGATCACCATCACAAGAGCATTCAAAACTCGTTCCTTTTATCATAATCTTAACACCTAATAGAGATGTTCTGCGCATGTATTAGTTATAGCCAGTACTACAAAACGAGGGTTGAGAGAGAGAGAGAATAGAGAGTAAAAATAACTGAGAAACAAAACTAGCAACAGGTTTTCACCACAGCCTTTGAAGCTAATAATGTATCATAGCAAACAGAAGACCAAACTCTTTGAAAGTAAAAGGTCACTATTTCTTCATTAATGTTAGATTCATCTAAAAATATAAAATTTACACATTCACAAGAGAGCACTGCAACATGCTTATTAATGGGGGATAACAATTGCCCCAGATTATCACTTTTCTCCATCAGACCAAATATATAGGTCCTTACTACTTATTACATGGATATTAAGGAAACAAATTATATGTGATCACTTCAAAATACTACTCTCATTGTCCCATTTTTGGTCCTCTTTTCCTCTTTAGTTTCCCCCACAAATCTGTTAAACACTTCTAACATTTTACTCTATAGAACTTTTAACATAGAGCAAGCATTATGTTACAAGTATTTTCCAAGGAGCTAGCTGTTACAGCGTCTGTACCCATGAACCCATCATATCATATAAGATGCTAATATCGAATCGTTTAACACCTTAGTTTTAAAAGGTGTGAGGCGTCATGAGACGCTTTTGTTAAATAGCCAAGGCACGAGGCGGAGGTGCACGCCTCACGGGACTTGAGCATATAGATTTGTTAGTAATACTAAATAGAACATATACAAGATACCTTCAACCAAAAAAATAATGATAAAATTATATAAATACTACAAGTAAACAAGGTGTTGAACACCAAAACCAGTCACCATTCACCAAAATAAACATTCAATGGTTACTCATTTAATGCGTTCAAGAGCTTTATGTTTCCTGATTTATGAAATTTTATTATAGAACATCCAAGCTTTTGTCCCACAAGAGTTTGGAGTCGGTTAACATGATTCCACATATGAAACTGGAGCTAAAAAAAAAGATAAAAACTTAAAAAGATAAAAATGATAAAAAAAGATAAGATAAAATTAAGGCTAATTTAACTAAATCTTACAATGTAAATTTTATACGGAGTATTTACTAATTTAATGTGTCCTGGACATCAAAAACTAAATTACATTAATTAGTTACTTAGTTACATGGTTAAAACATTCAGCTTTCTAATATTAAGACTAATTTTCTGATCTAGTCTGAACTGATTTACAATGTTTATTCTATGTGTATTTATAAATACGGAAGTCTGATCTGGACTGATCTATTTAAGTCTGATTGGTCTGGAACTGAAACCAATCCAATTTAAAACATCCTAAATCTCCAAAAGTATGTTATTAATATTAAATAACATAAGAAACTGTCTAGAACTGAACAAGGAAATATCAATCAATAATCAATATTAGTTAGGAAACTAATAGCTGCTTGTTTTAACAACCAGGCAGCCCGCTCAGCTCAAACCTTCAGACACGGGCAGTGTCATGAACATCCTAACCCAACCCATTATGTTCAATGAGACCTGGCCCATCTTTAAAATCTCTCTCTCCACCTAAAGAGTTTCCTAAAACAAATAGCAAAAACTAAGTTGTTATTCTAATACAACTTGAATAAAGGAATATTAATTAAAGTAGGACTAATTAAATACTAATATTAATATGACTCTCAGCCTTCTTATTTCTTTTCTCTTACCCACGTTGGTCATAAATCTTCTCTGCCCCGCACTGCTTTTTTCGTTCATATGTACGGCCATAGAATTGGTCTATAACATCTCCTTGCAACTGTCGTAATGCTGATTGCAGGTGAAGCTTTTCAATAAGGGTGAGCTCAAGAATATGGTTACACGTCAATCTAATATCTTGATATGATGATAAAGCATGGGAAATTGCCATTTGTACATGCCGGTTGTACACGCCAGATATTTTGTCTGTGCATAGATAAAATATCCGGCTTTTCCATCGTTTGAAATGGAGCCAAAGACTCACTATTTTTTGGCTTGGGAATATGATGGAATAAAGAAACTGACTCATTATTCTTTGTTATGAAGCAACGGTCAGTCTATGTAATTTTTGACGCGATTTGCACTATTGGTCATCTGCAAACAGTCTCTCTGTGCTTTAGCACATGGTAAGCCTTTGTGCACAAAACAATGGCGTGTACAATGGCGTGTACACAAAACAAAGTTGCAAAGCATATCATGAAGTGCAAGTTGCCCAGAGAAGCTCAATCATATGGCTTGTATTATAATAATAAAACACAATGGATAACAAATAACTGTATTTGACATTGAATATAGGACTGGTATTTTTGAACTCTTACATGTTTCAGTTTTAAACTCGGCCTACCACTATTGCCTTGTGTTAATTCTAGGGATTTGAATTATGTAAATAAAATATTGTTTTGTAGGAATGAATTGCAAGGATTGCATGATGAAGTGGTGTCCAATGGTTTTAGTTTGGTACAAGTTCTTCCAACCCGAATAAACCGAAACTGAACGGAAACCGAAGAAAACCGAACCGTAAACCGAATTGCCCACCGTTAATTCACCTATAGGCTCCACTAACATTTTGGTAGTGACATCCACTACAATGGCATTCACCATAATGACACACGCTACAGTGACATCCATCGATCAGTGACCGCTGACGATCACAATGACACCGCGGCTATACTAACACAGACCACAGTGACACAGGCTCCGGAACAGCGAACCGCCACCTCGTCCAAGCAATGATTGTAGCCATCCGATTGGTGGATTGTGAGTGATGATTGCGCACAAGCAATAATGGACAAGCAATAAGTTAGCCTAGTAAGTGGGTCGTATCTTATTACTCTGAATTTGGTCTATTTACAACACACTACTACAAGCCACTCTAAGCTGAGCGTCTATTTCAGCGGGGGGGGGGGGGGGGGGGGGGATTCAGGATTGCTAGCGCTGGAGAGTATCATTTGTCAACCCTTTAAAATGAAATAAATACTACTATTTATACTATCAAGCGGTAGGTGATGTTGATGATGTTTATACACTACAAGAAATCACACGTTTTGTGACAAAAAATTACGTGACACACAAAAAAATTGTCATATTATATTCAGTAATAGTTACAAAAACTATATTTCATCACTGTAAAAGGATTTGTTGTGACAATATTATCATTTGTCATTTTAACTCATATATTTCATGAATAATTGATATTTACTATGACAATAAAAGCAAATTTGTCACTTAAAAATTGAGCGCCAAAATATGATGCCAAAAATTTGGAGGGAATTCTTTTGATGACATTTTAGAAATAATTAATGATGATACTTTGTGTCACATACGTTTTGGTTATTATGACAAGATTATATTTCGTCACTAGTTGTTTTGTAAAATAATGAAAATTTTATTTTGTCATTGATGTTACCTTTTGATGACGATTAATGCAAATGTGTCATACTTTAATTTTTTACAAAATATATTTTAACAAAAGTAAGAGCAAAGGTTATAGATAAAACATTAATATTAAAAGATTAAAGTAAATATTACCCGAAATAGGACTAAAAATGTTTAAAAATTTTAAATTATAGCTGTTATGTTTTTTATTATAAAAATAGAACTAATTATTATTACTCAGTATATTTTAACACTATCATACTTCAAAGATGATAATATTTTTTAAAATTAGCACTAATCTTGCTTATATTGTAAGAGCCAAGGAACGTTAACATCGTTCTTTTTCCATCCGACTCCTTTTACCCCCTCCATATCCCTCCGACTCCTGTCCATTCCGTCTCCTTTCTCTGCGTCGATACGTACAGGTGCCCCATCGCAAACAACTTCCGCGTGCAGTTTGTATATAATAGAAGGAAACGATCTTTTCCTCTTTAGTCCCGCCCTCCTTTCGATCTTCCAGGTACTCATTTCAAATCTCTTTAATTTCTCCCATGTCTACAGGCTAATTCGTTTCAAAAGTGATACTTCATTTTCCCAGTCTTGCAAAGGAAACGTTTTCTGAAATTGCTAATTCTTTTGCCATGGTTGCAAGCTCTACAATCAAGCATTTCATGAATGTCTATTAATTGTTCGACAAAATTCCTTAACCACATCTAGAATTTAGGATTTATTCGTGCAAATGCAATGACCTCTGAATTTCAAACACACATAAACCCTTAAGAAGAAACTTATCCCTTTTAACTGATATTTGAAAACGTCGACTCACTAAAACCAAAGTGACTTGTTACTCTTCTTATAGGAATAGAGGTGCTGAAAAAGAACGATGTTAAAGTTCCTTGGCTCTTATAATATAAGCAAGAAGATATCTATACACACACACAAGCTTTGACTAAAAATCATCTTTGGGTTTTTTGAATTAAGTGGTTATTTGAATATATGTTTATAAGCAAAAAAAGTTTTTATTAGAGTAAAGTTTGTTAAAAAGTGGTTTGGGAATAATTAATTCTGTAAAAATGAAACAAAAAAGTTCACCTGTAGATGACAAAATAGGTGTAATATAGCTTAAGGGCCATAAACTATAAAATCGTCAACTATAAAATCGTAACTACTATAATGGGACTTTTTCGTTGGAATGGGTCTTCTTGTCGATGTAATCTATCATCCCAACATGTTTTCTTAATAAACACCATCGATTACTCATAAACAACTGCAATGCTGGTTTCCCACAAAACTACACTGATTATGAATTATTTTTTTATGGTCTTTTTTCATGTCATGATGGATACGGACATGGAATTGAGCTTGCTGATGTGCTGCTATCAGTTTCTTTCAGATCTAGATGCCCCTTGGTACACTCCTCGGTAACTCTGATTTTTTGTGAACCCTCACTTTGTTGGCAGACATAAGTTTTCTTCTTGTTATACTAGTAAATCACCCGTGTGATGCACGGTCGGAGAATTTATAACCTATTTTTCGTTCCAATTTTTTTTTAAACCTTAGGTGGCAAAACATTTGTTGATCATAAATCAAAACTCTGGAGTATGGTCACCCAGAAAGTACACAAATCAAGATTAAAGAAACATTAAACATAAAAATATAATAACAAACAAAACCAAACTTATAGTGCAAATAAGTACAGGCACGGTTTAAGAACGGAATTCAATGCAACCTTAAACGTTATTGAAAACTTCTTTGTAAAGAACATTTTGCGTAGCGTTACACGTCGCACCGCTCTCATTGCATATCAATATTTTCAAACCACGCCTATCGGTAACTCTTGAAATCGCAACATATAGCTGTCCATGCGTAAACACAGGTTTCTTCAACAACAACCCTACTCGGGACAACGATTGGCCTTGACTTTTATTGATAGTCATAGCATATGAAATCATAATGGGGTACTGTTGTCTCTGAAATCTGAAAGGCAAGTTGGCATCCGAGGGGGTCAAGGACAATCTGGGAATCAACAGTTTTGGTCCAGCACTAACACCAGTAAACATTTTCCTTCCAAAACATGATCGCAGAGCCTGGTTAGAATTAGCCGAGTGCCGTTACACAACCCCATTGAATGAACAATATTTCTGAGAAGCATAACTGGAGTCCTGACCTTTAACGTCAACTTGTGATTGGGTACACCAGACAACTTAATGCTGTTTAGGAACTCGGGGGCATGCAATTCTGCCATCAGATCGGTCGTAAAATCTAGCTTTGAAACGCTGTCAGAACTAAGATACGTCCTAGAAACTTCGCCGAAGTTGAGACCCATCATATAATCATTAATAGTTTCTACCACGGCCAGTGTTGGGGCTAATATGGCATGATACCTCAAACAACTAATGTCACGCGCCGATGCAACGTACTCGGGGAAGCCATCATTTTCTTCGCCCAACGCGCCGTCGCCAACGTACTCGGGGAATCCTAACGGCTATAGGATCAACATGGGTGTGAATCAACATATCCTCAGGGATATCAACTGTGGCAAAGCCATCATTTTCTTCGCCCAACACGCCGTCGCCAACACTGGCAATCCACTGGGGAAAAAAATCTTCAAATCATAAATTTCGGCCTCATTTGATAATCGTGCAGAAACATGTTTTTTTTTGTCAAACGAAGGCCGATGCAATTAGACCACAAATACGACGAATTGATGGTTGCATTGACAACATCCTTTTTAATCCCACACATAATAAGACTATAAGGCAAAAAATATTTGCAAATCTATTGAAATGGAATGTTTAGAATAATGATAGTTAGGCTAGCTGACAACACACTTTTTCCGCTTATGAATATTATGAACGAACTTTATGACCAAACATGGAACTTTTAATTGCCACGCTGAATGGTGTAATTAGAAGAAAAAGTAAGGTTGAATGCACTTTTCTTGCTTCACCGGCTTAACTTACTATACCTAAACATTCAGGATATATTTAAATCAAATTTTCCAAAAATTCTTAATAGGATATATTTTAAAAATATTGTTTACAAAAATAGGCGGAATAAGCAAAAAGCCTACTTAAGTCCAAACTTAATTAATTTCTGCAGAATCAGTCAAACGACAGATTTTAGTACAAAAAAACGGGTTGGATATATCAGAAATCTAACACCATTAAGTTCAAACTAAAACGTTATAACCCATTTGTAAATAATCAGCACTCGTATGGGCCGGCCCAATGAAAATTAACCCAGCCCAAACCCAAGCCTTGTAATCCACGTCAACACACTCGTCAACCATACCCCCCAGAAATCACGCCGACACCCAAAACGCGGCCTCGCTCACTAAAACCCCTAACATAACGGTTGATACATGTGCAGCGAGCATTACAACCTCAGCAATCAACCTCCGTCAAGAACAAACAACCCCAGTCTCCCACAGCACAACCCCATACATCAAATCCGCCCACAGATTTTGGCCGAAACCAAAGCATCTACATCCGACAGACGTTCGTAGATCAGAGAAGAGAACGAAGTGACCTTGATACGCAAAATGAGCCACCGTCCGCAGGGGCGGATCCAGAAAATTGAACTATTGGGGGCACCTACTAAGAAGAAGTTATTTTTTTGAATAATTATTATCAAGTATAAATTAACTATATTAAATGAAATATTCCAATATTAGTAAAATGAAATATTAGAAGAAGAAGAAGTTATTATTAAATGAAATATTCCAATATTAGTAAAATTAAGAATATTATAGAGTATATTTTATTGCAACTCCTCTCTAAGTTTTCATTTTTTGAAACGATCCATCACAATTTTGTTTGTCAATCATAAAAAATTGACC